GCCGATTAAACCTTTAGTGTATTAATTTTTATTAAGAAGTTTTTGAAATCACAATGCAACAAAACAAATTAGAAAACTATACTATTTCATTTTTGAATGTGCCACGTCAGAGGGGGTGTTGTCTTCAATGCTCCCCCCAAGTGGTAGAAGTGTCAATTTGATGATTTACAGCAATCAGTCCTTTCCACCAAAATCTAGAGTACATTTTTGTTTTGTTTTTCTTTGCTTATTTCTGCATAAACAAACAAGCATATTTTGCCCATTTACGCAAAACATGCTGAAGGGACAATTTTGTATTAATGCAATGGCAGATAACCAGCAGGTTTTTTTTTTTCTTTTTTATTTTAAGCCCCAAAAGTGAATTTCATTAATTAAATTCTCAGATTACAAATCACAAAGTACAATCAGCAAGAAGTAACATCATAGAGCAGATTAACTTGCTAAATCTATAGAAGGTAGAATAGAAACAATTAGATAAACCTATGCAAACAACACAAAAGGCATGAGATGCTAAAAATGGACCAACTACCACCTTTTAAATAACAATTCAACCTAAAAGCTTAAATTGTTAGGTGAGGCCACTGAATAAGTTTTTATTCTCTAACATGCCCCCTCATATGAAAAACCATTGAGCTTAAAGCGTCAGTAAGCATGGTCTAACCTATATCTTGTGCTGAAATTTAATTAATTATAATGGGGGGCAATGTAGATGAACATTAGACCATTTGGTCAAATAGGTTTTGATATCATCTCAAGGAATTGTTCAACCTAAGAGTTTAAGCTGTTAGATGAGATCACTGAATAGGTTTTTATTTTCTAATACCTCCAACAGGGATTGATTTCAACAAGAATTTTTGGTTTGATAGAAAATAGGAGAGAAGCATAAAGTTAAGCAATGCTATTAAAGATTTTCACAAAATGCCAAACACAACCTTCAACTCATTTCTTTGTAGGGATGTAAGTTGGATATCTGATTTTGAAGAATTAATATATATTAAATGGGGAAGTGCCCTCAGAATTCAGATTGAGCTGTTTTGAATTTTCACCGAACACTCAAACAAGCCCGCCCAAGTTATGACCCTGGCCTATTTCTTTCTTTTTAGAAATAAACACATTGAAATTTTAGTTATCGTGGAAAACATTCTCTTTTTCTTGCATAATTTAAGAAAACTTGAAAACATTGCCTTTGCCCAAGAAAAGGCAAAGGCAAATGAAAAATGAAAATTAGCAATCCTAGCAAAACTGTGCCAAGTTTAGGTTGCATTTGGCATTCTTTATAATTTTAAGGATTTATCTCGTTTTTTGCAATTAAAATGTTTCTATGAACACTGAATTTTTTAACAGTAAAAGGAAATAATTAAATCCTTAAAATAAGGAATGCCAAATGTAGCCTAAAAATTGGCTCACAAACGAGGGTGATTTCAGAACTTTATTGGTTAAATGAAAAAGCTGGAGCTGTAACAAAAGCCTACCGTAAGCATTTCAGTCGGACATCAATATATATATATATATATATATATATATATATATATATATATATATATATATATATATACTTTGTTTTTTAAAAGAAAACAAAAAAGCCTTATCAATGATCAAAAAAGAAAAAGGGCGTGAAACCTAACCCTGAAAACTATACAATGAGCAAAATGCTCTACACACAAGCAAATTTCCCTAGGTTTTTAAAACTGAGTTGGACAATGAGCCGGCCAGGGGTCAGGTTCCCGGGTCAAACAATCCGATAGTTTGAAACGGACAATCCTTTCTAATAAAAAATAAAAAACAGCCAAAATTATTGGACAGTTTGACCACCCGGGTCAGTGGTTTATTGACCAAATCAAGTTTTTGGCTAAATAACGGTTCTGGGGTAAAATGGACCGGTTCCCAGTTTTTCAGATCTGACCATCTGGTCCGATTCGGTTTTGAAAACCCTGAGATTTTCAAGAACAGATTAAAACAATTATTTAAGAAGAATATTGGGGATGATAACCTTTGTTTGTTTTTAATGATCTTCAAATTGATTGAAATGTCTCTTGGACTTTCTTAGATTTGATTTTTTTCTAAAAAAAAAGCTTCTTTTTCTTGTTTTCCACTATCACTCATTCTTGATTTGTATTGTTTTCTTTGAATGTATCACCTTTAACTGGATTCTCACCATTGTGATTAATATTACTCACAGTTTTTAAGTAAACTAGAGATAAAAGGTAAATGCTGACTGATAGAAGACACACTTAGTATATCTTTCAATGAAAGATAGAGAATAGAAGATTTAATACTAGAATGCCTGTGAGATATAGCCAAATTTGGTCCACCATTTATAGTAATTTGATAATCAGCATCTTGGTAATCAGAGTGCTTGTAGGTGATTTAGATCACTGGTGACGTAATTAATTGCTCCAAAGTCGGGTCCAATTTAGCATCATCATAGTTGAAGGAACAGGAGTTGGCCGAGTAGGCTTGCTTTTGAGCTTTCGAGAACTCAATTGCAGCTTTCAACTTGTAGCAATATTTGATAGCCTGGCTTCTATTATTGCATATGCTAGAGAAAAAAACCTATTGGAGGATTTCACTTAGCAGCTTAAGCTTTTAGGTTGAATGGTTTTTTGAGATGGTATTAGAGTCGTTTTGAACAAGTGGTCGAATGTTCGATTCTCATCACCCCATTATAGTATAACTAATTAAGTTTCAGTATAAGGTCTGGGTGGAAAGCCCAATGTGTCTTCGTGTGAGGGTAATGACATTAACATAAAATGATTCATACTCAAATTCCAATCCTTATAGAGTGTGCTGAATAAGTTGACAGTTTGTAAGGGGCTCACTTTAGGCAATCAGACGATCAGCAAAAAGATTTGATTTCTTGAAGGTACCAAGCACATAAATTACCTTTACAAAGAGCACCAAGATCATCACTGATGTCAACTGCTGGATTTTTTAATTTGGATGCATATACTTTTCAAGATGCTTCCAAACCTTCTGGCTTGTGGTAGATCCAACCACATAGGCTATAAGGCCCTGTTTGTTTATCGGTAAATTAGAGGGGAAAGTTGGTCCATGGATGCTGGAAAGTTCATTTACCGGTAAATTGTTGGAAGTTTTAAGTACTAGGTGTCACAATAAAGAGAGCTTCATTTATTTGAGTAAAAGTTTATAAAACATGATGGGACATTTAGTTTGTCATTTTTTAATTAATTTTTTATGGATAAAAAGGTCATTATATTACTTATTTAGGAATTAAAAGAACTTGAATAAGTGTTACCCAAAAAATATTTATCTAAGTAAATGCACTTACCTGTGGGAGATTCGGATAAAGTAATAAGAAGGCAGCTTATTAATTAACAATAGGTGATGGGACTGCACTGCAAGTGGCATTGAAGCACTAGTAGTCTATGAAGTGGCATTGGCTGATTTGTTCGATCCATTCAGAGAGAACATGGTTGTTGAGGAAGAGACATGTGAGTAGAGTGGCTATGATACCCCCACACAATTTGAGGAATGAATGAATGCTGTCATTACCATTGTTTCTTTTGTTGATCTACTAATATAATTGTATAAGATGCATGAGAGTTGTTACAAGTTGTTGATATGGTGCAACAAGTTAGAGAGAGAGAGAGAGTCTTATCTCTTGGATGATTACACATCTGTGGAACAAAACCTCTTAACCAATTTAGGGGATGTTTGCCAATGTGTAGAAAATAAAAGAAACAGAAAGTTGAGGGAAAGTTCTTAAAGATTGAATTGAGGAATATTCTGCATTTCCCCTAAACTTTCTGTTTCTATATATTGTCTATGAAACCAAACACATCTCTAAGTCTTTGCGGTTACCACTGCCAAGCCTGTTTTTGTTGGCTTTCAATTTACATAATATGATCATATTTTATGATAATTTATATAGAAATACATCTTAATTGAACATAGAATATTGAGACCTTTCTTCTCCACATATCGCATATTATAATATTTTAATATAAGAGATTGATTATTGTTTCAAAGCAAATACATTGTCTTAAAGACACGAAAAAGAAACAAGAAGACAGGGGAATTGAGGAAATTATCAACATGAAAAAAATGAAATAATTGCTAGTAGAAAGTATGAATTCCAGCCTTTCCTTTCAACTAGAATAAGGCCTCATCAATGTAATCAAGGAGACATATATGGAGGAAGAAATCATAGGTAAGTTGAGTGATCATTAATTAGAGAATTTGATGAGTAGAAGTTGTTTAGATAGTTCACCACTTATTCACTCCTCTAGTTATATGTAGGTGGAGTACTAAGATGGAAAGGAAGGGAGGATGCATGACCTTGTCCCTCTAATAGTGTGGTTGTTGTTTGAGGAGAAGACATGGGGTATAAAGTTATAGGTAAGTTGGTCTCTCTGGTGTTTGATGAGCACTCGTTAATATTCCACTGGTTATTTGATGCATAATTCAAGTAGTATTCTCTGGTTATTGTATGAAGTAGGTAGACTAAGATGGAAGGGATAGGATGTAAGACCTTGTCTCCCTGATGTTGTAGTTGTTGTTTGAGGAGAACACATAGTGTATGAAGTAATAGGTAGGTTGGTCATTAAGCTGTTTGATGATGAGCTGAAGTTCAAATAATTTGATTGATAGCTCAAGTATTCACTACTCCGATTGCATGAAGTGGGTGACCGACCAAGATGGAAGAGAAGGGGTGGACGAGCTTGTCTCTCAAATGTGGCTATATGTAAGTTGGTCATCAAACTGTGTGATGAGTAGTTATTGTTGATCAAATGGTTCAATGGAAAACTAATTAACAGTTTACTTCTCTGATTGTTTGCAGTAGTAGATGGGCCAAGATGGGAGGGAAGGGATGTAAGTAGACCTCGTCTATCTTCTAATGCGGCTGTTGATTGAATTTCTTATTGGTGAGTTGTTCAAATGGTTTGGTGCATAGTTCAAGCCTTCAAATATTATTCTTTGGTTGCTTAAACTAGGTGATTTCTCCACTGCAGTACTACTATTAGAGAAAGTTGATGATCCTACTTATCAACACTTGGTCTCCGCCTCTTCCTCTTCTTGGGCATTTGCAGGCGCAAGAAGTACTTTTGTGCATGACTTGCGATTTGGGAAGGAGTCCTAGTCCGGACGCAGTTCCTAGAGATGTTCTTCCAGTCACCTCTCCCGTATATCTCCAAACCCAAAACAAACATCCTGATGAATAATGGAGAAAAAAAACAAAACAGAAAAAAGATCTTATGAATATTGAACTAGAGAATAACAAATGTATAAATTGTTTATGCCATTTGTCCAAGTAAAGATGCATGAAAGGAGAAAGCTCTTATCACTTGATGAAAATAATGAAAGGTGCTTCCCATGCACACGTATAGATATGCATACAGACATACACACAGACATATTATAGGGAATGATAATTAAAGGGAATGATAATTAGAGGGAGAGAGAGAGAGAGCACAAATTATTAAAGGGAATGATAATTAAACAATATTATATGATAACAGGAAAAACTTAGATAGAAAGAACTAGTAGCTGCAGAAATCACATTATCCATATATACCCAAATGAGTAAATAATATAAGAAAAGGTTCAAAACAAGAATCGTACTGGTGTTCCTCTTCAGTCCATAGTTTTACTCCCTTTCCCTTATTAGAGGTAGGCTTTCCTGCAGATGGTGATGTCTCTTTGTCCATTTTTGCTTGATTTGGAGCTTTAGACTCTGGGTCCTTCTCTATCTCTTTATAATTGGGTAGTGGAAAATGACCAGAGTATATGGTTTCAATATCTTGGATCAGATCTTGGTAGTGTTTTTTGATTTGTTCAATGGTCTTTCCCGGCACCCTAGAAGCGATATTTTTGAATATGTCAGGAGAATCAAGGTTGAACTCAACAAGTGCATTCTCAAAAAGCTTGTTTTCATTCCAAGTCCACCTAGTAACTTGGTCTGATTGAGATGATGATGAGATAGATGAAATACAGAACTCAGAAAGAAATGAATCCAAAAGAGAAGATTGAACAGGATCTGATTCCTGCATTTTGTACATTTAATGGATGCTAAGGAAAATAAATGAGAACAAATCCAGGGAGATTGAAAAACAAAGTAAGAGAGAGAGAGAGAGAGAGAGATGCTAAGAAAGAGGCAATTCTCTTATCTTTCAATGGAAAAGACCAAGGAGAAGCCTTTCTTGTTTAGGATCCCATGTTGTCTTTGTCTTGGAAGGTAGATGTATATATTTATATTTTCAGAATTATTCAAATTAGCAAAACCTGCCCCTAAAAGGAATATTTGACATGACATTTCTTCTTTTGAGAAAAGGTAACAGATTCATTAAGCCAGATGAGAGTTTCTTTTTGGTTGACATATATTTTTCTATTTCAGATTGTAGTATCTAGGCTTAAAATGACAAAAGTAACCTTTATTTTTGGTTATTTTCATTAAGATTTAATTTTTTACTATTTTGAACATAACTTTAACGAATTGGTTAGAATTAAAAAGCTGCTAGCTAGTTCTAACTGCTAAGAGCTAAGCATTTTAGTATATACAGTGGGCTCTCTAATAACTCATGGCACAAAGAAATTTTATTAGTTATTAAGAATTAATTAATTATAGGTATGAGAATTTTTGTTTTATACCATTTTATTTACTCACTACATTTTCTTAATTAAAAGTGTATTTTGTAGTGTAGTAAGCCAACCTAGGTGTTGGGATCTGCTATATATATATATATACACATTTACGTATGTATTTATATACATACAAATTGTGAAACTAAGTTGCTCTCAAGAAATTTTATTAGATTTTAGGAGTTATTAATTTATAAATGTGCAAAAAATAAAATATAAATTATACGGCCCTACGGCATGTATATATTTTTTTCATGAACAAATTTTGTTAAAGATAATTTGATTATTATAAAGAACTTAGTGTATGATTATACATTTCATCATGGAATGAGCCTAACAATAAAGGGACAATATTGCCCCAACAGATAATCCTATTAGTTGGAGAGCAGAGGAAATATGCCACAATGTCACAATGATTAGCATTTAAAGATGGGAACACTCACTATCTACTTTTGAGGAGAAATGAAATTCATGGGGCATGATTAGCTTGAGATTGTAAGCTAAGAGAGATATGTAATATTAATGGCAGTAACAATTTGATAATTGTTAATCAAATGATCTTGACTACTGTTATAATTAGGAATTGGAAAAGAATTTAATATATTTTCCATCTATAGGTATGTGAAGAAACCACAAGCTAAGATGGTGCATTTATCACCAATCCCTGGTTATGAATTTAAGCAAAAGAAAAGAAAACGGACATTTTGTATTGTTTACTTGGTCTTTTTTGGTAATGCACATTAAAAAGCAGGAAATATATATCAACTCAAATCAATAATTAGTTAGGAGAAATTGGAAAATTTTGTGGACAGACTGTGGAAAGAAGAAACTAATGTGGAACACTTATAACAAATTCAGTCATTGCCATCTAGAAGAAGTAATAAATAGCAAGACTCCTTCTTGGTCCTAGACTTTGTTTTTTAGGTGAAATTCATGTACCAAGAATTAATCCCAATCTTTGTAATAATGGGCCCTACTTATTGCTAATATCAGCACCAACCCAGACTTAATGAACTGAGTATTGATAGGGTACTCCGCCGGTGGAAAACCTAAGTTCACCTCTCAATTTACCCGATTCTCATTCTCATTTGTTTTGATGCAAATGGTTAAGGGAACAAAGTTTTCTTCCTATAAGGGGAAAGATACAACTCAGTGGGTGGCGTTCTTTATTGGGATTTTGAGAAGGGGACCAAGAATTCTATGTTCTTTTTTCATATTTATGTGGGGACCAGGGAAAGTTTATTTTCCTGGGTATTACTTATCCGGGTAAATAACTTTTCCACCTAGGGGATGGTTGTCAGCACTTGAATGGGACAAAAATGTCCCTTTTAATAATTGACTTTTATGGATGAAATGGTCATTATCTTGTTTACCTAGAAAATAAAAGAACATGGGTAAATGCACTTACCCATGTAAGTATTTCCCAGGAAAAACTTACCCAGATAATTGCATTTATCCGGGTAAATAACTTACCAAAAAGCAAACAGAGCCTCAAATGTTTCTTGGTCAAAGCCTTTCCAATATTATGGATTTTTTTTTTCCAATTTTAAAACATCTAGGATGGTTTCTTTTCTGTTGAGAAAATGAAAAGACCCTTAGGCTATGTTTAGTATTGATGAAGGAAGATTTGGCCCAACCTCGCAATCACGCCACGTGGCAAAAAACAAGTAGCTCGGCACTTAAAGCAACGTACCTAGGTGCAAACACCAAAGGGAAGAAACCAGCAGTCCAAACTCCCCTCGAGGAGACCGAACTCCCTTCGAGGAGCCCGGACTCCCTATGAGGAGCCCGACCTCCCTACTAAGAGCTCGAACTCCCTACGAGGAGCCCGAACTCTCCCTTTGCCCCCGAGCCACACAAAGCAGT